CCCCGGTCTCAGTCCTGATCACCCGACAGTTTACGCCGGTCTGTCGCAACACTCAGTTCCTGGTTCAGTCTTGGTTTAGTCTTGGTTTAGACCTGGTTTAGTCCTGTTTTAGTCCTGGTTCAGTCCGGGTTCAGTCCGTATGCGGCGCAGTTTAAGTCACGGAAATGGAAACCGTTATCCATTTTTTTTCCATTATTCATTTACACACAAAATTGAAAAACTGAAAAAAAACAAATAGTTGAGTCTAATCATCTCCAACACGACACACACACAGAACAGACTCAGCATCAGCATCATCAACATCCCTCTGAACACTCATATTCCACTGAGTCGTGTCCTTTAGTCCGACAGAAGCTGAACCGCATCAGTGCATTTCTGTAAAACGTAAACAAATGTGTCAAAGCTGCATTAAACACATTATAAAGTCAAACGGGCTGATGTGGTTCTCGAGTGTTTATGGTTTATATGTTGTAAAGTTGAGTTTATTTATGCAGATTAATAATAGTAATAATAATGATGATAATTTTAATATAAAAAACGTTAATTATCCTGACGATCGATTAAGAAAATTTGATCAAATCCTCATCCTCATCCCCATGCCCATATTCTACTGAGTTCTTCTCTCAAACAGAAAACACTCATGTCATGTGGCTCCATTTGTGTCATGACATCACAAGGTGAAACGGCATTTTCGGCTTTGGAGACGAAAAACAGATTAATAATAAAAGGTTAAAAGGTCAAAAGTGTGAATGAAACAAACAGTGTTGAGAAGGTGACTTTTAAAATGTATTCAACTACAGATTACAGATTACATACCCCAAAATGTAATTTGTAACGGAATCCATTAAATTACTTAAAGTGAGTAATGTAATCTGAATACTTTGGATTACTTGATTTTCTGTAGAGAAGCAAAGACTAGAATATCGTAACATAAGATGTTTTATCTGCTAAAAGAAAATGAAAAGCCAAGTCTTTACTGAACCAAATTAAAAATATTATTGATAGAAGACGAGGAGACATGTCCACGCAGCATGGTTTAGTCCTGTTTTAGTCCTGGTTTGGTCCCGGTTTAGTCCCGGTTTAGTTCTGGTTTAGTCCTAGTTTAGTCCTGGTTTAGCTCTAGTTTAGATCTAGTTCAGACCTGGTTTTAGTCCTGGTTTAGTCCTGGTTTAGATCTAGTTTAGCTCTAGTTTAGTCGCGGTTTAGTCCTGTTTTAGTCCTGGTTTGGTCCTAGTTTAGTCCTGGTTTAGCTCTAGTTTAGATCTAGTTCAGACCTGGTTTTAGTCCTGGTTTAGTCCTGGTTTAGATCTAGTTTAGCTCTAGTTTAGACCTGGTTTTAGTCCTGTTTTAGTCCTGGTTTGGTCCTAGTTTAGTCCTGGTTTAGCTCTAGTTTAGATCTAGTTCAGACCTGGTTTTAGTCCTGGTTTAGATCTAGTTTAGCTCTAGTTTAGTCGCGGTTTAGTCCTGTTTTAGTCCTGGTTTGGTCCTAGTTTAGTCCTGGTTTAGCTCTAGTTTAGATCTAGTTCAGACCTGGTTTTAGTCCTGGTTTAGTCCTGGTTTAGATCTAGTTTAGCTCTAGTTTAGACCTGGTTTTAGTCCTGTTTTAGTCCTGGTTTAGACCTGATTTTAGACCTGGTTTTAGACCTGGTTTAGATCTATTTTAGCTCTAGTTTAGACCTGGTTTTAGTCCTGGTTTAGATTTAGTTTAGACCTGGTTTAGTTTCTGGCAATGAGTGGAATTACCGAAAAAAAGAAAAAGAAAAAAAGAGGAATATAGCCCAAAATGTGAAAACAGGAAAACAGGAAAATACCGCCGTGTAATCCATTTATTTCAACAAAGTAACTGTAATCAAATTACCACTCACTGAAACAGTAACTGTAACTGAATACAGTTACTCATAATTTGTACTCTGATTACGTAACTCCGGTACATGTAATCTGGAAACAAAACACAACTCCAGGTCTGTTTTTGATGAGGTGGTAACATTCCAACATGACTAAAAGCTCACGAGACACTTCTGCGTACCTCTAAGATCTAAATAAAATAATTTGACTAAGACACCGCTGACTACTTCACTTTTCCTTCTATGTTTCCAGTGAGTCATTGCTCATCTCTCTTGTGTGTGTCGTGTTCCAGTCTTTCCTACTCAAAATTCTGCAGAAGTCCTGAATACATGATTTGAACTGCTAAACTTGTCTGTCCTGTCACCAGAATGATGAGCAGGATTAAAAGATTTTGGGCCATGACTCCATTTAATTGAAATGTCTGACCTTTATGTCCAAGACCAAGAAAATGGTTTAATTCCCAGATGACACCAGAGACATATGAGGGCTGTAAGTCTGAAGAACACGCCCAGTTAAAAACCTTCACTTCCAAAGAGTAGAACTTATCTGTTTGGCTTCAACTTGATGGAAATGACTCATGGTGAAGTGGTTGGCGTAGAACAGGAAGGTTTGTGGTTGAATTCCTAAACTCAGTCCCGGTACTTGACCTCTTCTAATGTGTCTAGTGTTCATGTCGTCCTTCAAAAGTGGACGTTCACGAGTTTTGTGGAGACCCGGGGTGTAGTGGGCGTGGTACGCGGGGGTCACCGTCCACCCACTTCTCTCAACGTGAGATATAAAAAATAAAAAAATATAAAATAGCTACAATTTAAATGTCAAACCGAAGCTACTGGCAATGGTGAAAACAACCTGCTGTCCTATAGTGACCTGAGACATGAGGGACCAGGACTGAGCCAGGACTAAAACAGGATTAAAACAGGATTAAAACAGGACTAAAACAGGACTAAACCAGGACTAAACCAGGATTGAACCAGGACTGAACCAGGACTGAACCAGGAGGATTGAACCAGGACTAAACCAGATCTAAACCTGGTCTAAACTAGGTCTAACCCAGGTCTAACCAAGGTCTAAAACAGGTCTAAACCAGAACTGAACCAGGACTGAACCAGGAGGACCAAACCAGGACTAAACCAGGACTAAACCAGGTCTAAACCAGGTCTAAACCAGAAGTGAAGCAGGCTTGAAACCAGGACTGAACCAGGAGGACTAAACCAGGACTGAACCAGGGTTAAAACAGGACTAAACCAGATCTAAACCTGGTCTAAACTAGGTCTAACCCAGGTCTAACCCAGGTCTAACCAAGGTCTAAAACAGGTCTAAACCAGAACTGAACCAGGACTGAACCAGGAGGACCAAACCAGGACTAAACCAGGACTAAACCAGGACTAAACCAGGTCTAAACCAGAAGTGAAGCAGGCTTGAAACCAGGACTGAACCAGGGTTAAAACAGGACTAAACCAGATCTAAACCCGGTCTAAACTAGGTCTAACCCAGGTCTAACCAAGGTCTAAAACAGGTCTAAACCAGAACTGAACCAGGACTGAACCAGGAGGACCAAACCAGGACTAAACCAGGACTAAACCAGGTCTAAACCAGGTCTAAACCAGGACTGAACCAGGACTAAACCAGGTCTAAACCAGAACTGAATCAGGTCTAAACCAGGACTAAACCAGAACTAAACCAGAACTGAACCCGGAGGTGCGCCCGTGTAGACTGTCAGGTGACCGCAGGAGAAAGGACCACCGCAGAACTCCGTGCAGCCGTCACCCGATCGTGCTTTGTGTACACCCCGCTCCACAGGCTCGGGGTTCTCTCTCTCGCTCTCAAGTCCAAGATTAGTCCTGGTTTAGTCCTGGTTTTAGTCCTGAATCATCACATCGATGACGTCATAAATCACATACCCACACTTAAAAAACAAACAAACACTGTACTATTGGTGGAAACAAAATTGACTCTTGTGAACTTTAAGCCATGTCAGAATGTTGTTACCTCATCAAAAACAGACCTGGAGTTGTGTTTTGCTTCATTCACACATGTTTGAGTAATTCTTTATTATTTGTTTGTTTACATCTCCAAAGCCCAAAATGCTCTGTTCCACCTTGTGATGTCATGACGTGGTAGTTCTCAAGTAAACAGCTCCCATGTTACCTGTAGTTTAGTACAGAATGAAAATATTCACATGATTCTAGTGAAGGTGTATGGAGTTTAAAAGCCCAATGGAGCTCTTTCTGTATTACCAGATGACATCACAAGGTGGAATGGAGTGCTTTCTTCTGAGGTTTGTGTGTTAAACATGTGTGCATGAAACAAAACACAACTCCAAATGTGTTTGTGACAAGGAAATTATAACATAGATCAGAAAATAGTGTACAATGGGCCTAAAAATGTGCATAATAGTGAACATAAATATATTTACGAGTTTAAATCTAGTTTTTGGTTGAAATTTATAACTAATAATCCTGGTTAGACTGGCCATAGAAATAATCCCATAATTCTTGACTAGGAACTATAATGTAAACCACGGCCAAAACTAAACTAAATAAAACGAAATGACAACTTTATTGCCAGAAAAATGCATTCCTTGTGCTCAAACTGTCCGCGCATTTTGGAAAGAAGCGTCGACAATGTTATAGCTGTTCTGTTTTAGAATTCAGCGCTACTTTCCCCTATTTTCTCAACTTTTTTCTCCCACAAACTCCCTTATGGCTGCTGTAAAACTACCATAAATAATGACCAGAGGTACTGCACCATCGCACCAAGTCGTAATTAGAAAAAACAAACCTGTCATATGTACTTTAACTGAGAAACCAACTTCAAACCGAGAGCTCCGACGGTGCACAGTCCTCTCTGTCAGTGTAGTGGATGTGTGCAGTCACTTCCAATGGCTTTGTAGTAATATGATGCCACCATAATGCAGTTTTAGAGACATCTGGATTCCTAATGTGGACGTGCTCAATATAACTAAGCAGGTTATAGCTGTATTTTACCTCTGCTTTCCTCAAATACTTCTCGGCCCTGTTGATCTAAATAGCCCTTGAGATAAATTGTATTGAGATGCCTTAAATTGCTTTGTGCCTGAAGCTTCACTGCATTAATAACACACGGGCCTCCTGGTGTACGCGCGGATTTACATTTCTTCTTGTCTGTTTTGGCAGCTGGGGGACTATATTTCCGACATCGCCAGTAACATGATGCAGGTGGAGGAGCACATTTTGTGGATGGCCCAGACCGAAGCGCGCGCCTGCACCAGGATAGTGCAGTGTGTGGAGAGGATCGCTGACCTGGCGCTGGCCTCTGACAACCAGGTCATTTCTAAGGTATACACACTTCACATTTGACACAGTTTAGTTAAATCCACAGCGTGTAAGTTTTTGTTGCTAAAAATATACAGAAAGTTTGTTGTTTCATTATGAATGTTTTTACTGCACTGAAAAATATAGAAAAACATCCCCACAAACACTATAATTTGGCCTTGGAGAAGTGCCTCCATCTGCTTGTTTCCACAAAAATATTGTTCGTTTGGCTCCACTCTTTCACAGTATGGCATAAAACTTATCTATCCTCATGGGGAATGTTCCACAGTACAGTTTTAACTTTCCATCTCCATAAAGTTACATACATATATCACTTTAACTTTTTCAGTGATGGAACATGCACATATCTGAACATATCTCATACTTATTCAGTTATTGTCAAAGGACTTGAATTTAATTTCAACCATGAATCAACCTAATGAAAGTTTATAACATTTGAAACAGATTTTACACAGCAGTAGTAGCTGCAGCAGAAGTAGTTGTTGTAGTAGTAGTATTACTTGTAGTCGTAACAGTAGTTGTAGTTGTAGTCAATGTAGGAGTAGTAGTTGTTGTCGTTGTAGTAGTAGTAGTTGTTGTAGTCGTAGCAGTAGTTGTAGTAGTGTTGGTTGTAGTTGCTGTAGTAGTAGTAGTTGTTGTTGTAGCAGGAGTTGTAGTAGTGGTAATTGTAATTGTTTGTAGTAGTTGTTGTAGTTGTAGTTGTAGTAGTAGTAGTTGGAGTTATAGTTGTCATCATTGTAGTAGTAGTAGTAGTAGTAGTAGTAGTAGTAGTAGTTGTAGCAGTAGTTGCAGTAGTGGGAGTTGTAGTTATAGTCGTTATAGTAGTAGTAGTAGTAGTTGTTGTTGTAGTCATAGCAGTAGTTGTAGTTGTAGTAGTAGTAGTAGTAGTAGTAGTTGTTGTTGTAGTTGTAGCAGTAGTGGCTGCAATGGTAATTGTAGTCATAGTGGTATTTATAATTGTAGTAGTAATTGCAGTAGTGGAAGTTGTAGTTATAGTCGATATAGCAGTAGCAGTAGTAGTCGTAGTAGTTGGAGTTAAAGTCGTCGTCATTGTAGTAGTAGTAGTAGTAGTAGTAGTAGTAGTAGTAGTAGTAGTAGTAGTAGTAGTAGTAGTAGTAGTAGTTGTTGTTGTAGTTGTAGCAGTAGTTGCTGTCATGGTAGTTGTAGTCATAGTGGTAATTATAATTGTAGTAGTAGTAGTAGTAGTTGTAGTGTCGTTGTCATCGTGGTTATAGTAGTAGTAGCTGCAGTAGTGGAAGTTGTAGTTATAGTCGATATAGTAGTAGTAGTTGTAGTTGGATTTAAAGTAGTCATTGTAGTAGTAGTAATAGTTGTTGTTGTAGTTGTAGCAGTAGTTACTGTAATGGTAGTTGTAGTCATAGTGGTAATTAAAATTGTTGTAGTAGTAGTAGTAGTTGTAGTTTTAGTAGTAGTTGTTGTAGCAGTAGTTGCAGTAGTGGAAGTTGTAGTTATAGTTGTTATAGTAGTAGTAGTAGTAGTAGTTGTAGTTGTTGTTGTAGTCATAGCAGTAGTTGTAGTCATTGTAGTAGTAGTCGTTGTAATCGTAGCAGTAGTTGTAGTAGTAGTAGTAGCTGTAGTCATAGGAGTAATAGTTGTAGTCGTAGCAGTAGCAGTAGTTGTAGTAGTGGTACTTGTAATTGTAGTCGTTGTAGTTGTAATCATTGTAGTAGTAGTTGTTGTAGTCGTAGCAGTAGTTGTTATACTGGTATTAGTTGTAGTAGCAGTAATTGTATGTAATATAACTCAAATTAACCTTAGAAATAACAGCGCTGGTACTTACATGTACTACTCTCTAGTAAAGTAACATTTCAGAAGTATTTCACAGAGTCAAAAAGAGTATACGCATATTTCAAGGCACATATATTCTGACAGAAACCCTTCTAGTGATATATATAGATCTATATATTTATGAACATGGCCTCAAAGTTTGAAACCAAAGTCAATGTTTATGTATTCCACAGTGAGGCCATTTTAACTGCCCCTTCTGCCCAAAGTGTACAAACTTCATTATTACCCACATAAAGTTTAGGACAGACTTTTATATTGGCCATTAAGCAAACGGCCTTTTCTCCCAGTGACAGCGTTGACAGAGCGAGAGATGGAAGGATGGAGAAACAAAAGGAAAGGAAGCCATTTTTCACTGGGTGGCTTTATTCTCATTATCAGCTCCAGTCAAATTAACTTCTCATTACCCCTCGGCCCGAGAAGAGAGGTAATGGGAGGGGTATTTAGCCAGACAATCAACCTTTGCCCTGGGCTGGGGGGCAGAGCTGTGGCTAAAACTCACAATATTAGACTTAGACGCTGCGAATGAGGATTTTGGTGGACTTTTATAACATTCTCCTGACTGTGTTTTACATAAAGGGTGTATGCAAATGTGTAATACATACATGCATAGCTTTCTATCTGATTGTCCTTGAGAGGGTACGATTTTACGCACATGAAAGTAAATAAGTACAAATATCTGGTCTAACTGCTCGTCACATATAGTCCTCGTCCTTGGTACATTTCTATTCATTCTTTTAGCTGAATACAGATTTGGTGCGCCTTTAGAATTTTTATTGAACTGAAAAAGCCTGGACTTATACAGACCTAAAGAGGGTCTAAACCAGGACCTTAGGTAGAAGTGGATAGAGTAGCCATAAATTGTTACTTCAAAATGATATTACTCAAGTAGAAGTACTGTATTTTTATTAATAATGTTGAATTCTCTTGTCTATTTTCATACGTAATGCGCACCAGATTATAAGGCGCATTAAGCGAAACAAATGGACGACACTTGCGACTGATCCCTTAGCCCAGGCGTCCATGATCCATTGGCAGATCGTGGTGTAATTTACCCGGCGTTGCCTCCCTGTTTGCCCACATTTGTTTACATTTTACATAAACGAAACTTAAAACCGCAAGGCTCATTTGCATTTATAAATGCTGAAAAAACAGCTCGCTCCTTGTGCACTGATGAGGTTCAGCTTCTGTCAGACTAGCCCTGCGTTCTATTATCCTTCCGAATCAGTTTTCCGAGGAAGTTGCCTAGTGACACACGTGACACGCCCCTTTTCCTGGGACGCAGCAAAGTAGACTGAGCAAGGATTTTGAGTCAGAATCCAAGATGGCTGAGCCCACTGTGACGTGTAAATATGAAGTGTTTTCATTGTGTTTGGACACTTCAGTGGTTTAAATAACAATTTCAGTCATCGTATTACTGCAATACTTTACCGCGTCTGTATCACTGCCTGTGGGTTTGGTACTTGGTGTTGTGGTGTGACCAGTATTGAACAAATACTTGATTTAAAGGCTGTTAACTTCCTTAAGGTTGTAATAGAAGAGAAATCATAACATAAAATGCACTGCAAATTTCAAGTGGCATCGTTTTCATAACATGAGGTAATAGTCATAATCATAATCCACGTAGTCCGACACGCGATACATAATAATACGCTTCAAACTTGGATGTGATGTGAAATCCGATGTCCAAGTGGGAATTGGAAGATAATAGAACGCAGGGATATTCCGCGAGGCTCCTGACTACAGAAAACATAATGCTCCGACAATCCATCAAGCGGTGCGGCTTCGTAGTTTACCAAAGTCGTACTAAAACATTTTGACAGATTTTTGAGCGCCGTGTACCACATAAAATCGGTTCGATATCAGTAAGCACAACCAGAATTAATACATAAGGCGCACCGGATTATAAGTCGATTTTTGAGAAAATTAAAAGGATTTCAAGTGTCCCTTATAGTCCAAAAAATACGGTACATAATAGTTGTCAAGCAAGTACAAGTAAAAAATAAGATATTAAGAATTTAAAGTTAATGTAATTGGAAAGAAACATAATAATACACAAAATCTCAAAATTTTCAAAGGATAAACAAAAATTAGACAAACAAACTTATCTGAAGGAGCTGTCCAAGAAGCACAGATGTTCCAATCATTGCATATTGTCGACATAAAGCTTTTGTCACTAAAGACTAAAGCCCTATTCGCTCGGGATAAGTACAACTTGGGAACATCTGGTGATTTGCAAATTACCGCCCCACCTCTGTGTTACTTGGAGCAGGATAAGCAAAGTCTGTATATTACACTATTTTACTGACACTGACACAGAGATTGAAAGAGAAAAGGACACGGAAAGAAAAGAAAGAGATAGAAAAATTTGCACGGGACTAGTACCGTATTTTCCGCACTATAGGGCACTCTGGATTATAAGGCGCATTGTCATTGAATGGTCTATTTTCAGCCTTTTTACACATACATACACCGGACTATTAATTATTAAATGAAACACAACAGTTAGATAAGTCAGTCAAACTTTATTTAACACGTTTACAATAACTCTCAACTTTGTTCACTTGTAACGCATAAGAAGAATACCGTCTGAGAGCGCTAAATTGTTATCGTATTCACATTAACTCACGCGATTACGGTGTCCAGCACGCCCACATCCCTCTCGTCATTATCCACGTCAGTGTGGTTACTGTTCTGTGGCAGTTCAGTGATGATTCTGGTCTTGGTGAAAGCTCGGACTGATCTTAGCCCTGTCCATTGGTGAATGTGTGTGTTCTTCTCTCATCCACTGCTCCTACACAACTCGCACTTTCACTTTATAATAGCCTTGAGTTTAAAGTCGGCGTTGTAAGTATGCAACCCAAAACATGCTGCATAGGTCTCCAAGAACAGTTGATATCCAAGGTCATTTAAATACAATCAGTCAATGAATCTTTCCAGGGACGACAGGTGGAAATTAGCACTGATGCTACAACCTGATGTACAATGCATCTCTCCTGTAAAAACTGTTCGCTGTCCCTGTCCTCAAATAAATAAATAAATAAATAAATAAATAAGTGTGTCTCTTACAGGTGCATTTTGATTTTAAAAGGAATCACAGTATGTATTACTCCGCGATGCTCCTGACTACGGGACCCGTAATGCTGCAAGTGGTGCGGCTTTGTAGTTTACTAAAGTCGTACTAAGAGATCCAAATAAATTCATATATAAGGCGCTCTGGATAATAAGGCGCGCAGTGGTTTTTTGATGACATTAAAGGCTTTTATGTGCGCCCTATAGTGCGGAAAATACGGTATTATCACCTGACGTCTGTGTTTGGCGAAATATAGTAGGTAATTCATGGGAGAATTTTTACTTTATAAATCACAGACATGGCACATTCACACATGATTAAGATCTCAGGCGTCCTCTGCAATTATCACAAATCACCAAAGGTCCACAGGTCATATTAATCCTGTTCGAATAGAGCTTTACTCACAGTGGAAAGAGTTAAAGCTCACATCCCGCAGCATTACTAACACAGAGGTTTTTTATGCACTGGACATGGGGCACACACATAACAGCGCTCTATTCCTCTGTCTGCCACTTTTAACTCCGTCTGGCCTCATTCAAGTTCTGCCGGGGACCGCGAGAGCAAAGTGGTCCGCCCGGTCACTCCACACTGCACAGATCGCTATAACACTTCAGTCATCGGCTTTTACACGGCATAACCACCTCAAATAACGGACGGGGTAAACCGTGAAAGGGTGAGGGTCGCGGAGTCAGGATGCAGCAGATACAACACACAGCACCAGGTCACGAAGGCTCCAGCACTACACACTGGACTCACACAGCCAGCTATTTGAACATCTGCCCTCATATCCAGGCCTAACAGCACGAAACGTCACATAAAGAGCTAAAAAAAAGACTTAAACAGCTCACGTTAAACCATGGCACTTACTCTGTTATTCTGTCTTATTGACCTGTTTAGTGAGACGTTTCCCACAAATGCAAATCACAGAAAACATATCCAGCTCTTTAACTCTGTTCTGTTGGCAAGTTCTGCTTTCCTTTTTAGAGAATAATAAACACGGCAGTGGCAGTATGAGTCTAACATAAGCACCATTACTTTTAATTGTTTTGGGAAGAGCAGAGAGTCGGTGTTGACCAATCAAACGTCAGAACACACATGCAGAGCTCTTGACGTTTCCAATCACAGGATGTTGGCGCAGATGTTTAGTATGAATATGAATATGAAGTGTTACATAAATAAATGCTAAAATAAAATAAAACCATAAGCTATAATGCATCTAATGGCTAAAACATGTGAACCTTGGTATGAAACTAGACTGTTCAGTTGTCAGTTTCAGACAGGCTGGCGTCACCTAGTGCCTCTGCTCAATTCCATTTCTCTCCAGCGACAAGGTCAGGAATCAGAATACATTAGATGGTTTGCAAGAACCCCGGAAATGCGAGTTCGGGCACCAGCCAATCAGCGAAGAGACATACATTCTTTGTTGGCAACGATTCCCAGGATCGAGGATTTAAAGCCGGAACAAAGAGAATGTTTGGTGAATTTTATCAAGGGGAAAGACGTTATTGCCCTTCTTCCTACGGGATTTGGGAAAAGCTTAATATACCAGTTAGCCTCGTTAGCGGTGCATTACATACGTCACGACCAAATAGCGATTGGTTAAATGAAAAAAAGTACCCACCTGCCGTCAAGTGAACGAATTCTAACACTGCGAGGTCAGAGGGTTTCTACGAAGTGAAACCGACTGATGAATCAGGCTATGCATTTGGCTACACATATGGCCATAAATATCTGGGTCTTAAATTTTATGCAAATTAATTAATATTTAGAGGTTGCTCAAGACACAGTAAATTGCCCTATACTACAACATAGTGAACCAAATAAATAAGGCGTATTCAAATAATTTGTGTCTGCAAACGCAAACTGAATCTTGCATAAAAAATATGTAGAAAGTCCATAAAAGTTACTTATAAAGTCCATAAAAAGTTACTTAGAAACTCCACTGTGGCTTTGTTGGCATCACAAAAGATGTGCCTGTGCTCTTTGACAACCTGCAGTAGATCCTGTTTCTGATCTTCATTCTTTGTTCGGTTACAGTTAAAATCTTGAATAAGCTTCACCTCCTTTCAGCAACATCACTGACACATTTGCTGGATTGCACAGTTTTAGCAACTTCTGAAAGTCTGCATCATCAGCCCAGTCTGCTGGGAATTGTTAAAAATGTTTTTGGCAGATCAAGATCCTCGAAGAAATGAATTGTGCTGGTGGAGACAAACTCACTGATCTGTTTCCCTTCATAATCTGCTTAAGGGTGTCACGTCACTTTGGTAGAACCTCTGAACCTTCCTTTTCCATAATACTGTGAACCATCACCTCCTTCTGTCACACTGGAGTCGAAGAATACCAGGCCAACCTTTTCTTCACTCAAGTACCAAAGATGTCGGCCAAAAGCTGTTAAGGCTACTTTCTTCACAACTTAATTTTCATACTGTGAAAACTTCTTAAGGAAAACCATCATCTTCAAAACGTCATGCGCAACCTCTAAAACCTATCCTTTTTCTTCCAAATTTCTTCCTAAATTATCTTTTTTGCAGGGTTCTAATCAAGGTTATCTGGAAGTTTTATTTTTTACCATGCTTTGATGGACCGACCACCCTACTATTCACTGACCTTTTATTTCCTCAGGTTTCTGCTAACATCGCTCTGGAGGCCTTCCTGATCCGTCCCTCTAACATCCTGGGCCTGTCCTGTACCGTGCACCAGCGCCCCTCTCCCTCGGGTGCCTCTCCGATACGGGACATCCCATCACATTTAAGCCACGGGGACCGGGACTCACGCATATCCCACGGCGAGCGGGACTCAGGAAGAAGACTGGACTCTCCGGGAGAATCACTGCTCAAATTCAAATGTCACACGGTGAACAGCAGCAGCAGCAGCAGCAGCTCGGCCACCAACCAGCTCCACAAGGTAATACTGCATTCTTTTCTGTTTATTTAAAGAGCGGGTTTTATGCTTCTATGATCTAATAATTGCTTAGATCGCCATGTTTGCTGGAAAATGATATTCACTGAAAACAACATATTAAAATGTTAGTTTCAGTTTCATTTTTGGGCTGAGCTGGGCAGCGCTTCTGACGATGTATGGCACTGATAACTCATGTTCAATGTTATTAAAGTTCTTATGACAGGACAAGGCATTTTACTGATACTTAGTTGGAAATCCTGACATCACACTTGGGAATTCCATAACTGTTACCGAGCTTCTATTTTGGACACTAGGGATGTAACAATAACTGAAATATCATCTATCTAATATCTACCGAATCATCAAAGGTCTCACAATAATATCATGGCCCATCACAATATATCAAATTACAAGTTTCTTTGCTTCAATTAATAATTATGGTGCAGAAATAACTAAAACAAACAGAGCAAACTGCATTGCCCATGATCCTTTGCTCCGTTTCAGTGCAGACTACATGAAGAAATAACTAAGTAGGGATGTACAAAAATGTTAAAATGTTGATATATCATATTGTTTAATTTGATGATAAAGTATCGATATCATGAGCTGCTGTATCGATATATCACCAAGAGTATTTTTTTGGTATATTTTACTAAATATACTAAATAAATATGCAACACATTTGACATTTTCACAGTTTTGATGATTAAAATGTTTGTGTTTCATATGAACTTTGCACAAAAAGTGATTAAACAAAGACTTTTAGTATCACAGCCACGATTTCCCCTTTATTTTTATTGAACCGTATCGAATCGATTTGAAATATATCCAATAGAAAGTGCACTGTATCGATATATGTATTGTATCGTGGCCTACGCATCGAGGTATGTATCGTATCGGCAACTTCTTAATGATACCCAGCCCTAGTTATAAACACTTTTAAATCTTAGTTCTTTGGGTTAAGTCTTGTTAAGGCATTTTAAGAGGAAAAAGTAGTGCACAGCATTCATGGTTTTGTTAACCTCCACATAATATCGCAATATATATTGTATAGTGAGATGCATATCGTGAAAATATCGTATTGAGAGATTTGGATATTGTTACATCCCAATTAGACACTGGGCCAAAACTCCTTTAATGTAACCAGAAATCATTATTTGACACATAAAAATACAAGAAAACACCTTTATTTTGTTGAAATAATGTTGAAAGTATCAGGAAAATGTGTTTCTTGTGTGTAAATAATGTTTTGAACTCTCTACTTCCTGTAATTTTCCACCTATTTTTCAACTTTTCTTCACAAATTGCTTCTTGATTTGAAAATTATAATATATATTTACAACAATTATCCCACCAAATTAAGTCAAAATGAGTGAATCATCAAAACCTGTCATACGCACTTTAATAACTAAATATTTATGAATGCTCAGTAATGTATGCGGTTTTCTTCAGTAGTTATGCTAATGGTTCTTTGTGATCATGGTGACCTTTTGCTGTTATGTAATCGTCCTCTTCTCTCATTATCGTCCTTGTAATTTACTGTCAAGAAAATCAGGGGCTTTATATTTGCTGTTTCACATCCAGTTTGGACATTTTTACTTTTGGACATTGAGTTTAAGATATAATAATAATAGTACTGTATTTTTCGGACTATAAGGCACACTTAAAATCTTTTAATTTTTTAAACAATCAACAGTGCGTCTTATGTATCAATTCTGGTTGTGTTTACTGACTTTGATATTATTAGTACGACTTTGGTAAACTACGAAGCCACACCGCTTAAGGGATTGTTGGAAGCGTTACAGCGACCGTAGTCAGGAGGCTCATAAAGTAAAGGGTGAAGTATAGTTCTGTGTTGGCATTTATGACATCAAATAAATACTACGGAGAATATATGTCCATTCATATATGTAGTCTATGCTTAAAATCTCTGAAAAGTTTCACGTAAACCATCTCTACCGCGATAGAAGCACAGAACAGACTCACCATCAGCAGAACATCCTCTGTCACAGAAAGAACACTCGTATTCCACTGAGTCGTGTCCCCGTTTACGCTGAAATTAATCCACTTATCACCGTATCGGAAATGATCTGCGTCCACACACGTTGTTTCTGTGTCTACAGTCCTTCCTTATCCACACAGCTTTGAGCATATTTGTTTACGTTTTACAGAAACTAAACTTAAAACCTCATGGCTAATTTGCATAAACTAAACGCTTAAAAAGCAGCTTGCTCCTTGTGCACTGATGTGGTTCAGCTTCTGTCGGACTAAAGGGCACGACTCAGTGGAATATGAGTGTTCTTTCTGTGACAGAGGGATGTTCTGCTGATTGTGAGTCTGTTCTGTGCTTTTATCGCATTGGAGATGGTTCATGTTAAACTTTTCAGAGATTGTACGTCTGCAGGTCGTACGCATAGATCATATATATGAATATACGGTAGCCTCTTCACGATGCATAGACTTACATCAGCGTATCAGTGTTTTCAGGCGTCCACACACCGCTGGATCAGATCTGTACTCATATGAATTCGTGGGAGCTGGAGGCACCAGATTTTTCCATCTCTGGAGCCATTTTCAATTGGATTAGTGTGAACGAACACTGCATCCACAACAAAAAAACACTCAAATATGAACTATTGTGGACGAGGCCTTAGTCCGACAGAAGCTGACCAGTGCACAAGGAGCGAGCTGTTTTTTTCAGCGCTTATAGTTTATGCAAATTAACCTTGTGATTTTAAGTTTTGTTTCTGTAAAATGTAAACAAATCAGCGCAAAGTTTCATCAAACACATTATTACTCAGTGTATATTTGAGTCCTCCTCATAGGAAATAAAAAAAAAATAACTTAAATGATCCACCCACATTCACATTCATAATACACATTCACCAAGACAGGGAGGCAATGCCGGGCGAATTACGCCACAATTTGCCAATGGATCGTGGATAATTGAGCTAAGGATCAGTCTTAAGTGTCGTCCCTTTGTTTCGCTTAATGTGCCTTATAATCCGATGTGCCTTATAGTCTGAAAAATACGGTAATAGTAGTAATAGTAGTTTTGTTGTTTACATGTCATTTTAATAATCATAAAAGTCCAGAAATCTTATCATATCTAGATTTTTGGTGTTTCATTCCTAAATTGCACAGTTTCACATGATTTTCAGTTTAAACGGCTGGATAACAGTTTTAAAAAGGCAATATTGACACGAGGAAACCCCAGCTGAGAGAAAATCAAACACGAGGAATGGAGTTTGTACAGTAGCTCACGAGCGCACTCAAACGCATGAAGCCTGTCTTTCCTTTAACTCCGCTGTTGTCTATTCTTATGGCGTGGTGACACTTGTTTGGGTTCGCCGATGGGCCGTACATCAGCTGCATATGTACGGGCTGTAGTCAGGGCAGGGCCTCCACATCCGATGGTGATTTGGGAGTCAGCAGAAGGGACCACTCCTCGGTGATGGATTCTCCGGCCTTGCATTAATGCTGTGCTAAATCAGACCTGGCAACGCGACGTGCCCCATCCCCAGTGACAGGCGGCCATCTTGCAGACAGCGGGAAAAACAGAGAAGGGGCTGAAGTGTGGAGTGGTGTTTTAACAAGCTCAAGTGCACCGAGTCTGGGGGCAGTTTGATGAAGGGCTGCACCTGGAAATATATGTTAAAACCAGCATTGTTTGGTTAAAAAAAAATAATTTGATTGTACCATTATTGATGAGACTGACTGTGGTGGTGAAGTTTATGTTTATTTGACTCACTTTTCTGTTTATTTTACTCACTTATTGGGATTTTTGACTCCTCCATGGGATCCGAATATTATATTTATACAACAGAAACCAATGTGAGTACTCGTTTATCTGCAAAGTAATCACAGAGAGAAATGACCAAGGGAAAGATCAGTTTAAAATTGTTCCAACTCAGAGTCTGTTTACCCTTTCAAATGATGAAATTCTAAATAAAACGTGCACTTCTATAAAAAATAATCATTTTTAAAAAGAACAGTTATTTAGATGCCAAATTTCTCACTTATGGTGCTTTCTAGTGCTGCAGTATTCGAGACCAATACCAGTTCGAGACCACAGGGTCCTGAAACTAAGTCCTCTGAGGGTCTAGACTGAGACAAGACCAAGACTTTTAAAGGTCGAGACCAAGACCACAGCCCATCGAGACCAAATCAAGGCCATCTTTGTCACATACATTTCAATGTCAGTACATTCATTTGTATTTTCTAGTTATTTTGGCACATATTTATCAATGTTTTTATAGATTTATCTCCATTTGATGAGATTAATGTTCATTAAAATAAGGCTTAAAATAAAATGAACAAATTGTACTGCACTTAAACACTCTGCACCCCCCTTTTTGGACCTTCATCCACAGTTTGAGAATCCTTTCTTTAATTCGACTTCCACTGACACTTTACAGAAAACTGCCTTCAAGACCGAGACAAGACCGAGTCCAAGATGAGACCAAGACTGTGAAAAAACTAATCTGAACTCAAGACCAAGACCAGTCTCGAGTACTACAACACTAGTCCCTGTTCTGCTTATGTTCTGATTCTGGTGTTGTTTCTGTGCTAATCTGTAAAAAATGCACAAAAAATTAGAAAGAAATTTTTTTTTTTTTTTTTTTTTAAAGAGTTCCAAATCCGATCATTCATGTTAAGCAACCGTTTTAAAGAGCCGACTCGCTCACTAGGGGTGTGCAAAAATATCAAAATATCGATATATCGTATCGTTTAATGTGATGATACAGTATCGATATCATAGGCTGCTGTATCGATATATCGCCAAGAGTATTTTTTTGGTGTATTTTGTTGCTTGTTCAGAGGAAGGAAACTCTTTTTCGCAACACATTTGACATTTTCAGAGTTTTGGTGATTAAAATGTTTGTGTTTCATATGAACTTTGCACAAGAAGTGGTTTAACTAAGACTTTTAGCATCACAGCCATGAATTAGGTTTTATTTTTTTATTGAACCATATTGAATTGATTTAAAATATATCATATC